GTCCGAGGCAGGCGTTAGTGATCTTGTTCTGAGTTGGTCTCATGTCCCCATGACTGGTCTGTAAGTCTCATGAGGAAAGGGGCCCTGACACCCCCACCCGACACACACCACACATGGCCTTGCACAGTGCACCCTGCACTTAGTAGAGATTCAGTACATCCTCCTGATAAGTTCTGAACTCCTGACACGCTGGAGCTGAGCTGTGTAGACTCAGCCTCTTACTGGGAAGCTGGAGAAGCTGAGGCCCCGAGAGGAGATGGGGCCTGTCCGCAGGTGTGAACAGGCCCGTCAGAGCAGGGACTACGGCAGGGGCCCCCCGACCATCCTCCAGGGTCTGTCTCGTCACGGTGCACGGTTGCCCTCCCCTTCAGCCCCAGAGAGTGGCGAGAGGGATGGGGAGGGGCCTCAGTGGCCCTGTGTGGGGGCGCCTCCTACCGCGTAACCTAGGAGGGGCATCCGCTGCTCCTCTGTCAAGTCCTGGCACTGTGGTCTCTGGTCCTCACAGCAGCCCCTCGAGGAAGGCGTTGCTGTCCCCGTTTTCAGTGAGAAAACAGGCTCAGAGAGAGGGAGTCTCTTCCCAGAGTTGCCCAGTTTGGCATGTGACTCCCAGAGTTGCAGCTCCTTCAGATCAGGGCACTGATCCCAGAGGGACAGTTTTCGTCTTGAGTGCCAACTCTGATCAGTGGATAGAGGCCTGGAGCACCGAGTCGAGGAGAGCTCGGAGGCCCTGTGCAGGTCCCCAGGAAGCGGTGCTGTGATTGATTCATGACCGCGGATGTGGCAATAGGTGGGATCGAAAGGCGCCATCTTTCCATTAGTGTGGCCTCCACCCCTCGGGGGCCTCATTTCTCTATAGGAATGCTCAGCTTCCTAGTCTCATCTTCACAGTCCCCTCTAAGGCTGATGGGACCATTGTTACCACCCCAGATGCGTAGTCTAAGGAATTGGTCCAGAGAGGTAAAGTGACTTGCCTGGATCACGCTGCAAATTAGTGTGCAAGGTTTCTGGCCGTGAAGGCCTTCTCCATCCACGAAGCTGAGGCTGGTGGTTTTTGTCAAGGGGAACTCACATTAGTCATCCCTTCCCAGAGCCACTAGCCCTGTTGAGAAACAGTGTGGCCTCCCAGGAAAGAATTGCTCTTCCAGAGGGTACCGATAAGAGCTTGGACACGTTTGATACATGTGTGCTGAAGGAAGGAAGGAGAGGGGAGGGTGAGCCCCCCCCCGCCTCCGCTGGTGGCCGCCCCTGCCCGCGCCGCGTTCTTCCCCTGAACTAGGAAGCCTGCAATGTTCATTTCATCCCCAGGATAGTCCTGTGAGGTGGCTGTTAGTATGTCCATTTTACAGATGAGGAGACTGAGGCTCAGAGATTATGGCTAGCCAAGATCAGAGGAAGCAGAGATGGCCATGAGACACTCTTAGGAGGCATTGTTGGTATGTTTGCCAGTGTGTTTCATTTATATATTTTTTTTTACTGTAAGAGAGGAAATAGGAGTAGAAAAGGAGATTAAGACATGTTTAAACCACTCAGAGTTCTACCACCTAAAGAAAAACTACTGTTGTGTTGTGTGGATATATTTTCTTCTAGACTTTCTAAAATTAGGGTCCGGTTGGTTGGTTGTTTTTTTTTTTTAATGCATAGTTATAATTTTCCTAGACATGCAATTTATCCATATACCTAGCATTATGGCGTCAGCCCCCTCTATGAAGCCGCAGACTTGCCTGAGCATGACTTTTATGGACTTGGTAAGATCCGCAGGAGACTTCAACAGCCACCCTGAGTGGGCTGGGATGCCCAAGGCTGGAATCAGGAGACCAGAGCCTGAACGTGGGCCACCAGCCCCTCACAGGGGGTCCGTGGACAAGTCACCACACACTGGGTCACAGCCTCCTCAAAGTGCCAGTGTGGGCGCCCTGTCCTGTGGCCCCCACGGCATCAAATAAGCAAAGGCCTTTTGTAAACTATAGTGAGCTGTGCCCCTGGCAAGAATTTTCCTTATCTTCCTTATCTTTCTCAGTCTCCTCCTGAGAAAGTTCTGCCTTCCCCCTTGGCTCCTGAGCCTTTTGCTAAGGGCTTCGAGCAATGGTGCCAGACCCCCGCATCTCTGAGATGCTCATATGTAAGGCGCCCCTCCCCGAGGGGACATTTCCTCAGCGCAGGACTGGAGCACTGACTCTTCAAGACCACCAGCCCACACCTCTGCCTTTGCCCCCTTCTGGGTCCAACATTGTAAGGCATCTCCAGGATTCCTCCCTTCTCGCAACTTCCTAGGACACCCCCGAGAGGCTTCTGGGCCCTCCTGTGACCTCCTGAAAAGTCCCAGAACCACTGAATGGCAGCTAGAGCCGGCCTTCTCGGCAGATACAGAAGTGCCTTTTCCACTGGAGCCAAACCCGATAGAAGGTCACCGAGGCCTGAGCTCAGTTCCAGGCCCTGCCACCTTCCCCTTCTCGTGCTCAGTTTACTCTCAAACGGACGCAAGATGCTGACCTCCTGGAGTGACTGCAGATGTGGGAGAGAACGTGAGTCCAGCACTAGCCCATCCCAGGGACGGGCTCTGTCAGCACTTACCGCTGCCAGTGTCAAGCCTGGCGCAGAGGACCTTGTCTGACTGGCAAGCACAGTCACCCAGGCGGGTCTCAATCCTTGCTCCTGCCCCCCTGCGCCCGCTGTCGTGTCTCCAGTGGCCCGGGAGTGACCCCCTTGCCTTCGTGCACAGCGCTTCACAGTTTGCGTTGCACTGTGGTGGGAGTTGAATCCCCTGATGTGAGGAGGGCAGGGCAGGAATTACTGCCTGTGGTCCAGGGGACAGGCTGAGGCCCGGGGAGGGCAGTAAGAGGCCCCTGCGCTGGAGGGAAGGCTGGGGCTGTGTTCGGGCTGCCCGTTACATAACCAGGAGCTCAAGAAGGGCCACCTGGCGTTTAATAGGCACATTGTATAATCACCTTTGGGAACCAAAGTGTAATCTCAAGGCCTGTGTGTGTGTGTGTGTGTGTGTGTGTGGTGTTTGTTTAAACCCCCGGAAGGGTGGGTATGGACGGATCGGCTTGGCAGGGAGGGTGGGGCTCAGAGTGGTAATGAACCCCTGTGGTGAGAGGCTCACCCAACATAACAAAGGGGGCCTGGAGCAACTCAATATTTGCCTTTTGGTTCCAGACACTGGAACACTCTGTCCTGCCTTATTTGGGACAAAGTCCAGGATGCACCTGGGCCGGGTTTAATCCTCAAATTGGCCCTCTACAAAAGAAAGGGGTGGGAGGGGAGAGGCCCACAGAGGGGAGCGGAGAGAAGAGCCCCACTTCTCACCGCCCCTGTGAAGAGCCAGAGTGTGGATCAAATGGCGGCCCCTTTAAAGTTTCATGTAGGGCTAGTAATGCTATCCTGCTTCTCCCCCTCTGTACCCTCTCCCTAAAGGCCAGTAGGGGAGGGGAGGGAAGAGGAGACTGGGCAGGGGGGCAGAGCACAGCCACGCCAGATGAAGAGACCTGCTGGGGTGAGGCTGGGTGCCTTCTGTCTCCCGGGTGGAGTGGCCACTGTGCGGCAGGAGGGGGGGACCACAGGCTCTCCGGTCAGAGGCTTTCATTACTCAACCCTCTCTCTCATCCCCCTGTGAGTCCCTCCCCCTGCCCCTCTGTCCACGGAGCTGCAGTGGGTGTGAACTCAGGCTCTGGGTCACACAGACGTGCGTGGATGTGAGGAATGGAGGTGACCACGCACAGGCAGTGCCTGGCATCGCCGGCAGCTGCTGTTAGAATTGTACAGGGAGGGAAACTGAGGCCAGGGGAGGACAGCGGCCTGTGTCATAGCATGTGCCAGTGGGAAAAGCCCCTCTTTTCTGGCCACCTGACCAGCCCCGCTGGAGGAAGCAGATGAAAATAGAGGAATTGGGATTGAGCATGCCTGGGCTCTAATCCTGCCCTGCTTTTTACTAGTTTGGGATAAAACCCAGTTCCTCTCTGAGCCTCTAGTCCTTCTTCCATATGAGGGACCCAGCCCAGCTGCCTGCCCTGGGTTAAAGAAAGGGCCCAAGACGCATAAGAGCTATATCAGCTCTGGGTAGTGAGGGACAGGGCAAGCGGGAAGGGGCTTGGGACAAGTGTCCCCAGAGCCCGTCTGGAAGTCTAGACACAGGGACCCAATTGGAATGAAGGATGCTGTCTCTGGAGAGGGCTGAGGACTATGGGCTCAGCTATTGTTACTCACAAAGAGGGTGGGGTGGATAGGCACTGCACCCCCCCTTACAGAGAGAGACCTCCATCTGAGGGGATGGAGTGCGGGTCTCAGACACGGTTCAGCCCCTGCCAAACCACGACAGTGAGTCACGCTTCCTCTGCACTCCATCTAGGTCCGTCCCCCCTCACGTGTGGCCGCGCATAGCTTTCTGAACCTTCTGCATCCCCGTTCCCTCTTCCCGACGACGTCGCTGCCTTGCAGTTTCTGTAATGGTGAAGGTTAGGTGGGGCCGTGCGGTGCAGGTAGCACAGCGCCCGGCTCACGGCATGTGCGCAGAGGCGGCTAGGGCACCGTGACCCCTCCTCGGCAGGGCCTGGGGCAAGATCAGCCCGTGGACCCTCACCCATCCGAGCTGGAGGGGCCAGCCAAAGACCTGTCTAGTCCAGGGGGTTTCCGGCGGGGTTCCTGAACATCCTAGGGCGGGAGTGGTAAGGAAGCCTGGAAAGTTCCAAGTCCCCACCCTCACGTCAGCCAGAACATTCGCACTTCCATCTGCTAATCTTTTTTCCAAGAAAGGGTTCCGCGCTGCTTTCGGTTTACAGTCCCCCCGTCTGGCCGTCTATCAAACAGATGGCGAGACTGAGGCCAGAGAGTGAATGGGGACCAGGAGTTCTATGAGGAAGAGTGTTTCAGGGAGAGCATCCCGGGAGGACAGGACCAGTGGCAGCAGCGTTCAGCCGTGCCTCGATGCACCAGGCGCGGGCTTGCTTGGTGGGCTAGGACCAGCTGGTCTAGCTGCCATCCCTCATCCGTGGCTCTCTTTCCAGCCCCCACCATGCCGTGGCCCCTGCTGCTGCTGCTGCCTCTGCTGCTGCTGGCCGTGAGCGGTGCCCAGACCACCCGGCCATGCTTCCCCGGATGCCAGTGCGAGGTGGAGACCTTCGGCCTCTTCGACAGCTTCAGCCTGACGCGCGTGGACTGCAGCGGCCTGGGCCCCCACATAGTGCCGGTGCCCATCCCTCTGGACACCGCCCACTTGGACCTGTCCTCCAACCGGCTGGAGGCCGTGAACGAATCGGTGCTGGCAGGGCCGGGCTATACCACGCTGGCAGGCCTGGATCTCAGCCACAACCTGCTCACCGGCGTCTCGCCCACCGCCTTCTCCCGCCTTCGCTACCTGGAGTCGCTTGACATCAGCCACAACGGCCTGGCCGCTCTGCCGGCGGAAAGCTTCACCAGCTCCCCGCTGAGCGACGTGAACCTCAGCCACAACCGGCTCCGAGAGGTCTCGGTGTCCGCCTTCACCGGCCACGGCCAGGGCCGGGTGCTGCACGTGGACCTCTCGCACAACCTCCTGCACCGCCTCGTGCCCCACCCCGCGGGGGCCAGCCCACCAGCGCCCGCCATTCAGAGCCTGAACCTGGCCTGGAACCGGCTGCGCGCCGTCCCCGACCTCCGGGACCTGCCGCTGCGCTACCTGAGCCTGGACGGGAACCCGCTGGCCGCCGTGGGCCCGGGTGCCTTCCGGGGGCTGGCGGGCCTCACACACCTGTCGCTGGGCAGCCTGCAGGGGCTCCCCCGGCTGGCACCCTATGGCTTCCGTGAGCTGCAAGGCTTGCAGGTCTTGGACCTTTCGGGCAACGCCAAGCTCAAGTGGGCGGGCGCAGCCGTGTTCGCAGGCCTGGACGCCCTGCAGGAGCTGGACCTGTCAGGCACGGGCCTGGTGTCTCTGCCCGACGTGCTGCGCCTCCGCCTGCCCGCGCTGCAGAGCGTCAGCGTGGGTCAGGGCGTGCGGTGCCGGCGGCTGGTGCGGGAGGGCTCCTATCCGCGGCAGCCGGGCTCCAGCCCCAAGGTGGCCCTGCGCTGCGTAGACACCCGGGAGAGGGCTGCCAAGGGCCCCGACGCTTTGTGACAAGCGGCGTAGCCCGGGGCCGGCCGACACCCCGCTGCCCCCGGGGCTTCCTCAGGTCCCGGGTAATTTATATTTTCCCGTGCCAATGCCAGGAGGCACCCTGCAGGCCTCCGCGGCAGCAGCGTCGAAGGAGAGCCGTGGGCCTAGGGAGAGGCTTTGGAGCTGGGACCCGCACCCAGCAGCCAAGTCTGGCCCCTTTGTCTGCGTTCCTCCCCAAACCAGAAGTAGAAGGTCTTAGATGCCAAACCGGAGACGGCAGCCCCCTGCCGTCCTTCCCCACTTGTCCCCAAAGTGCCTTCCCTCAGGCCTGGGCCGACCCGACCTGTGGCAGGTGGAGAGTGGATGGGCGATACTGCTGCAGAAAAGAGGTCCGGCCCGTGGCTGAGCACCCCCCTGGGCCCACGGTCCAGTCACTCAGGGGCATGAGCTTCCTTTAAGAAGCCGCCCCCGCTTTGCTCTGGGCACCTGAGGCCCACCTCATACTTTTCTTTTCCTCTAGGACCCTGGGTAGATCCTTAGTCGTAGAAGGGACTAGAGAAAAAATCAAGTGCACCTCCTCATGCGACAGATGGGGACACTGAGGGCTAGAGACGGCAGACGGCTAATCGAAGGTACTAGAGCCACGGAGGCATAACCGGCCCCAGCGTCCTGCCTCCCAGCGAGGCCTTTGCACTTTTCCATCGTCTCTAAATCATGCCCTCCGTCCCCTTCCTGGGCTCCCCCTCCTGCCATTTGTACCCTTTCCCTGTCCTCCCCAGGACAGGCGAGGGCCTCAGAAGTGGGACTCTGGGCCCTGTAAGCAGCTGGGTGGCACAGGGTAAGTGAGTTCACCTCGGAGCTTCTGGAAGCTTCAGGCATGCCAGTCCCAGGCCCACCAGTTTCCCACTCGGCAGTGGGGTCCTCCAGCATCGAGACTGGAAATTGGTCCTTTGACCCCTGAGGTACTTACTGCGTCTACATGCAAGGAGTTGATGCAGCCCCGGAGCCCCAAGGGGCCTCCCAGACGCGGTCCCCACTGGCCCTGAGCCCAGCAGCCTGTCTCAGCCATGTGTGGGAGGGAGGCAGGTACCCCCATCAATGTTCATGTTCTCAGCCCAGCCCTGGGCTCTCTCCTTTGTATTTGTTCTATAAAAATTGTTGCCTTTGTAAAGGATTGTTACTTCCACCACCCCTCCCCCGACCCCTGCCGGCAGGGGATGGAAACGTGCCATTTGTAAAAGAAGAAAAACACTGCGTTTGTTCACTTTTGTGATATTGTGTCCTGGGGATGTGTTGAGGGAGGAGGTGTTGGGTGGAAGTGACGGGGCATCAGGGGGCTGGTCCCACAGAGCCGCCCACAGGACAATGAGAGCTCTGTCCCCCCCCCCCCCAGCCCCACCCTACACTTAACCGATCCTTGATTTAATAAACACTATAAAGAGTCCCTCTTTCCATCCTTGGATTAGCATCCCCCAACATGCTCTGGGCAGCCTGTTGTCCCGGAAAAGCCCCGTCACCCCATCCCCTCTCGCAGGATTTGGAGAGAGAGCTGATCCGAGGGAGGGAACTGCCCGGGTGAGTTGCTCCTTTCACTGTGCCTCGTACCCCGTCCACCCTCCTCCGCTCTCCCTGCTGCCCCAACTCCATGAACTTGTCAGGCCCTCGCACACCTCTGCCTTTGCCCAGGCTGTTCCTCTGGGGCCTTCCCCTGCCCCCCACATCCCTGCCTCTCAGCTCCTTCCCACCCTGATAGAGCCAGTTCCTGCCTCACCTGCTCAGAGCTTTCCCTAAGGCCCCCTCCCTCCTCCGAGCAGGGGCAGTACTTCATTCCTTCTTGGCATTTTGCCTGCTGTGGCGCCCTAACTCCTGTTCGCATACTTCCAGTCACAGGGAGCTCACTTCCAGCTCATCTGAATGGTTCTGTTGTCTGTAAGTTGTTCCTTCTAACAGGCCAAGGTCTAAGGGAACGTCCATCACCATCATTACCGACAATGACCAGTTTTTTTCTGATATCGCCTCTGCCAAGGGACTCTTGTTCTTGGGGTGTGAGTGGGAAGGACACACAGAAGACACCCGAGCTGCAGGTAGCTGTGAGAGCCTGCGGGGGGTGGGGGTGAGGTTAGGAAGGCTTCCTGGAGGAGGCTGGTCCACAGAGCTGAGAAGAACAAATGGACCCGGACAGAGGGGGCTGGCACCTGGAGGAGGGAGTCACAGGTGAGCTTTGGCACAACACTCAGAACATTCAGGCTACAGGTCTGGCTGGGAAGCTTACTGGTGGTGTCACCTAGGACACTCCCCCACCCCCAAGGCTTGGGCTCCATGAGCTGGAGGCTGGCACCCATCAGTCAATATGGGAGTGTGTTCCAGCTCTCAGATTGGTTCTCCACCCTTCCCTCATCTCCTGGGTCAGGGGAGCCTTCAAATGCAGAGGCAGGAGAGGGATCCCAGGGACGTTCACCCAAAGCCCCCCTGAAGAAGACTGGGGGGGGGGCGGGGGGAAGGGAATGGAAAGTAAGTGTCTTTAAAATGGGGACAGAGGCACCTTGGGGAGGCGGAGCCCCCTGCGGGAGACACGTGAGTTCTGGGGCAGGTCACCTCTGCCGGTGGCTGCAGCTTCACCTCCAGCAAAATCGGCAGGGATGAAGCTCTGTGGTGAGGATGGGACCGTCACATTGTGGGGCTCCTCCGTCCAGTGGAGCACTACCTAGCACATCCCGCAGTTCCGGCCTCCTGCAAGCCCTAAGGAGAGCGAAAGCCCCGGGGGACCAGCGGCCCTCCCCTAACCCAGCCTTCCACGTGCCCCTCCGGAGGCTCCCAGCCCGCAGCGCCACCACGTGGCCACACATGGCCAGACACCCCGGGCGAGCGGTTGCGCACTTTGCAGGCCAGCACCTCCTTCACAGCCACGCGGTCTTCACGCTGCTACGGTCCGTCCTCCTGGGATCCCGGGGCCGAGAAGAAGGACGCTAGAAGCTCACAGATGTGTAGGGATGAGTGCAAAGATTCCGCTTTAGTGTTCACAGAAAAGGATTAATTAAAATCCTGGGTCCATCACCCACCCACCAGTTGTGTGACTCTGGCCAAGTCACTTTACTTCTCTGAGCCTGGAAAATGGGGATGAAAATACCTCCCTCCACAGGACTGAATGAGCAAACGAAGTAACGTTTGTAAAGAGTCAAGTACAGGGGGCGCCTGGGTGGCTTAGTCGGTTAAACGTCCGACTTTCGCTCGGGTCATGATCTCGCGGTTCGTGGGTTCGAGCCCCGCGTCGGGCTCTGTGCTGACTGCCAGCTCAGGGCCTGGAGCCAATTTCGGAGTCTGTGTGTGTCTCTCTCTCTCTGACTCTCCCCTGCTCACACTGTCTCTCTCTCTCTCTCTCCTAGAAATAAATAAAAAATATTAAAAAAAAAAAAAAGAGTCAAGTACAGTGCCCGGCTCGAAAGAGACACTCCACACATGCTTGTTCTCTCCATGCAACCACAGAATTATGAAATAGATTACAGAATCATAGCAGTTTTAGACTCGTGTTTTGATAACTGACTCAGAACTGAAGGGTTTCATAAAGGTTCCGGATTGTGGTTGCAGAACCGAACACTAAGCCGCAGGATCTTTGCTCTGTGTGCCAGACACAGAATAGAGCTTCAACACATGCCAGTCGGGCTTTAGGGACGGGCAAACAGCTGAGGCATAATTTGTCATCAGGGGCACAGGCTGGCTCACAAACGTTTCCTTGCATTTCGCTAATAATCAGCTGCCGCTTGCTAGACACATGTTCCTTGGACTTGGAGTACGTGCTAATATTTCCTCCTCACAACTGTCCCAGGTGATATTGTCACCAAACACCATACCAGCCTGGGCCTGGCTTCATCTGACCAATGGTGAGTCGTTTTTGCTTGTCCGACTTCAGTGGCTGGGCCACGTATACAGATCCCACACGTCAGCGAGGGCAGAGGTGCTGTGAGAAGCCGAAACGACACTGGGATCCCATCTATTTGTTCTCTTGAAAGTAAGTTGGGGAAATCACACAACTCTAAATATCTCCCATCAGACCATTGCTTCTAGATCATAGAGCACGGAAAGCCGAAGATCCAAGTCAAAGTCCTTCCCCTCCTGGCCCCATTTCACAGAGGGGGAGACTGAGGCCCAGAGAAGAGCAGCCCAAGGTCGCACGGCAGGTGACCAGGATTCTGTGCTTCAGAACGGGTGACACAACTTGTGAGGCCCAGTGTAAAATGACAATATGTGGTCTCATTCGAAAGTATTGAGAATGTCAAGATGGCAAGAGCAGAGCATTAAACCAAGCCCAAGGTCCTTCTAAGTCCCACCCCTGCTCTGCTTTAATCACACACCACTTACAAAGAAGGAAGGAGCAAGCACCCAGTTTGGGTCAGGATGGCAGACGAGAGTGTGTATAGATTTGTGTGTAACCCCATCCCCCTGGGAACCAATTATTCTTTCAAACGCGGGAATTTCCCTCCATGGGGGTTATCAGACCACCCTTTGAAGTCCCCAGATGGTCATGACCAAAGGGCTCTCAGAGAGAAAAGGCAGATGGAGATGTAAACACTGGCACCCATCAACTGCTTCCAGATCGGCTCACAGGATGTTTCTCTGGGCAAGACAGCCAGGCGTGTCTGGGGCAGAGGCCTACCATTCCGCTCTTTCCCAATGTCACCAAGACAGTAGAGGGCATCACAGGCTAATAAGGCCTTGCCCATCAATGCTCAGTGTCCTGTGTTGGCTAATGCTCACCAGGGAGCAGACGTTCACTGCTACCTAACATTTATCCATACCCAACGTCCATCGGCGATAGCCCTCACCGACAGCCGACATCCCCAAAGGGAAAATGTCCAGTGGCAGTAATGTCCACTACTGCTCCACCGATATCGGTGCCCAGTGTTTACAGGGGTCTAATTGCAATTGTGACTGCTCTGTGCATCAATACCTAACGTCAGTCCCTGGCGCAACACCTGGCTACAGCAAATAGCTGTCCAGTTAAGTCACATGGCCTTGCTTTATTCTTCTCTTTCATTTATTTAAGTGTCAGCGGTTGTCTTTATGCATATGATCGGTTTGTTGAGCTAGGCAGGAAACTCTTCCTGGGTTTACTGCTTAATTCCAAAAGCTATTTATTATTTTGTTGCACATACCTGTTAGTCAAAATATTCAGATTTAGGAATACGAGCCTATGTTTACGTAGATGTATATGTAACGTGTATGTATAATATGTAATTATTATGTACATGATACAAGAAGACAGAAAAAGAGAAAATGATTTTACAACAGAAGTGTCAAGGCAGGAAAAATTTTCTAACTAGTTGCTTCTTAGAAGCAGCAACTTTTCCTAAAAATTTTTTTATGTTCATTTATTTTTGAGAGAGAGACCGGTATGAGTGGCGGAGAGGCAGACACAGAATGCGAAACAGGCTCCAGGCTCTGAGCTGTCAGCACAGAGCCTGACACGGGGCTCAAACTTACAGACTGTGAGATCATAACCCGAACCGAAATCAGACACTTAACAGACTGAGCCACCCAGGTGCCCCAAGCAGCAACTTTTCTGAAGTCAGGTGACGACTCAAGGCATCAGCCGTCCTGTTCAGGTGAAGGGCAAAGAGCCCGACTTCAGGCTGAAAAAAAGCCAGGTTCCCAAATCAGGTGAAGGCCCTGAACAAGGGTTCCTTAAAAGTAGCATAACCAGCAGGTAAGGCACAGGCTCGAAGCCCAGCTTTGCCGCTTATCGCTCAGTGGCCTGGGGTGAGCCATTTAACATTTGAGCCTCAGTTTCCACATCTGTGAAATGGAGGTTGGTTGCTATCTCACAGGCTTGTTGTGTGGAATAAGTGAGTCAGCGTACAATATACTTAAACTAGTGCCTGGCATATACTAAGTGTCATATAATAATATAAAATACTGACTTTTTTTTTGAAAATTCTTTCTCTTGTCAAACTTATAAGCATGCTGTGACTCAAAATATTCTCAGGTTGGGCTTCTTCAGTGGCCATCGGTTCTCAGCAGGTGACCTCATGATTTGCTTAGGAATTTGCCCAAAAGGAGGCTCTACCCTCTGCATCGGTACATTTCAAAATTACCCTCAGGGCACCTGGTGGCTCCGTCAGTTAAGCATCTGACTCTCGATGGCATTCAGGTCATGATCTCACCGTTCATGAGATGGAGCCCCACGTCAGGCTCTGTGCTGACAGTGCGGGGATGGCTTGCAATTCTGTCTCCTCTCTCTGCCCTTCCCCCACTCG